GGTAAACAGGGACTGAACTAGGATAGTGATAAATAGAAAGGAGAAGATAGATGCAATACCGATAGACACTATGGGATGGAATAGACAAGGCTAAAGTCACTGAGTACTGGCACCGTGGGAAAACATGTGATAGTCAAGAGAATACTTCAAGAAGATTCATCTGGTTCAATGAGCTGGGCAACTTACAAGAGGGAGAGATTGGAGGTAAGGAAGCTAGTTAGGAGTTTACTTGGTTCGAACAAGCCGTGGAAAAAGGAAGAACAATTACAATTCATGTTATGAGAAGAAAACTGATATGACTTAGTGACAAAGCGGGTGTGAAGGGTGAGAAGGCTGGAAGTGACTGAAATTTCAAGCCTGAGTGAGTAGCTATTAAAAGAAAGACAGAAGTTAGAATGAGAAGTTAGCTGGAGGGGAAACATCACAGTGAGAAAGAGAAGGCAAGAATGTTTGTTACATGGGGAGCTGACAACATCAGATTTTAAAAGAACATATGAAAAAGAATGCAAAACTAAGGATTGAGTTAAAGAACTGCTAAAAACTTGTACGAATAGAACCAGGAAGATTACTAGTCTTGTCACATAGTAGGCACTCAAAAAAATTTTGTTGAGTGAATGAGCTGAGGCTTGTGGAAAATTCTTCTCTCTATAACACATTTCCCTTCAGGCTTTTTGTTGCTCAGAGAAGATGTCATATGAAAAGCAAGAAGGAAGAGCCATTCAAATGCTACTTTGCTTCTCTCTTTTCCAGAAAAAGAGTGATCTTTAACCTGGGTGAGGTGAAGCAAACATAGAGTAGAGGGAACAACAGTAGTGTAAGATGGGAGAGGAGCTGGACAAGTACCCAGTCCCTTTAATTCATGTCCAGTGACGCACAGAAGCATGGGGGTGTTCAGTGAAGGGAGAATTAGCCTCAGTGTTGTAGTCAATTTATCTGGCTACATTCTGAGTAGGAGTAGGAATTTAGCAAGAAGTAAAAAGCATTGGCTTTGCAACCTACAGAACTAGATTCAAATTCTGAGGTAGCCACTTCGGTAGCTGCATGAACTCTGGTAAGTCACTTGATCTCTTCAGATGTCCGTCTTCCCCATTTGTGAAAACAAGATCAACAATCCTTATTCTCACAGAGTTGCCGTGAAGATTAAATGAAGTAAAGCATGCAGAACCTGGGTTAACTGACAGGCACTTGATAAGATGAACATGCTGGTACACCTATCTTTGCTCCTTTTCTTTTCTTTTTTTCTTTTTTTTATAAATATATTTTATTGATTTTTCACAGAGAGGAAGAGAGAGAGATAGAGAGTTAGAAACATCGATGAGAGAGAATCATCGATCAGCTGCCTCTTGCACACCCTCCACCGGGGATGTGCCCGCAACCAAGGTACATGCCCTTGCCCGGAATCGAACCCGGGACCCTTCAGTCCGCAGGCCGACGCTCTATCCACTGAGCCAAACCGGTCCCGGCTCCTTTTCTGATTGCTTTCTTGGGCGCAGCAATGACATTGAAGTGTGGAAGGGTACCACTCTCCAGAACATGTACACTCCCTCTAGCTGTGTATTAAAAAACGTATTTTGTTTTGAGCCTCTAACAGCCAAACAAGAGTAAAATTAGATTGGTTAGAAAATGGAAAGCCAAGCTGGGAGTTCTAGTCACAGAACTCCCCCAAAACAGGGCCCGGATGTTGTTGGGTGCAGCATTATAAATTTACCTGAGCTTTTCTATGAATCTGTTACCAAGGGTTAAGATGCTGAATTGTAGTAGGGAGGAGACAAGACAAATCTGGTGGCTAGAGGGGATTCCCAGATCAACACCACCTGGTTCATCCCATCTAGCAGGGAAAACTTCCTGTTCGAGAGCCACCACCAAGAACTCCATATAAAAAAAGAAAGAAAAACATTCATGATACAAAAGGAAGAACTAAGAAGTGAAAAATGAACTAAAAGGATTCACAGCAAACTCATGGTTGGTAATTGCCAGGGATTAGGCAGAGGTGGGAAAGTACCTCTGACATTGGGGATCAAAGGTACTTCAAATATTGGGGAAAATTTTATTACATACATAGAAATACATATAAAGGCTAAAAGCAGATATGTCAACATGCTAACAACTCTCAATTCTTGGAGCTTAGAAAATTTTGTACTTTATGCTTATTTGCATTTTTAATTTATTTAAGATAACAAAATGAAAATAGGAGAGATTAGGGGATGAAAATAGGGGATGGTACATTGGAAAAGGATTTCTGGAAAAGATGAGGTTTGAGGCAAACTAGAAAAAATGAAATGCAATTTGGGCCCAGCCAGTGTGGATCAGTGGTTGAACACTAACCTATGAACCAGGAGCTCACACTTCGGGGCACATTCCCAGTCAGGGTACATGCTGGGTTGCGGGCTGGATCAGGAGGCTGCAGCAGCTCATTAGTGATTCTCTCTCATCATTGATGTTTCTATCTCTCTCTCTCCCTTCCTCTCTGAAATCAATCATACACACACACACACACACACACACACTCACACACACACACACACTTTGGATGGCCTCAGGGGATAGCTGCCAGGGTCAAAGAGTGGAGCTTTCTGTTTGGAAATAGTCTCTGTTTTCAGAAGTCAGTTAGGGATATAAAAATTACCCAGATTCCAACTCACAGTAACACAGAATTGGAAGTTATATCACTTATTACTAATAAAAGAGAAAACAAAACAAAATTGCTTCAGAATAAATAATTCAGAGTTTTTCATATGACTTAGCCTCAAAAAAAAAAAAAGAAAAAAGAAAAAAAAGAGCCAGTGTCTGTTTAAAATACTGTCAGGCACTGTAAGACTGTATGGAAGCCACTTGAGAGAAATTCCTCCCGAGTGATGCAGCAGCTCCGAGGTCCTGAGGAATTGGGTGGAGTAAGTTGTAAACCGAGCTGTTGAGCTCTAACAGTTAGAATATATCTGTTGTCTCTGCTCTGCAAAGACAGGAGATGAGTGTTCTTCAGATCGGAAACAGGAACTCAGTGGGTGGACCTAAAAGGGAGTGTGGGCTTTGAGACAGGAAAAAAAGAAGTCTGCTTCTGATAGTGAAAGAGATGCATGGCTGCCCTGTTCCAATCATGCGCGTCCTGCTGGGTCAAACCTCTAGTCTGTAACCACTGGCAGTAACGCACGTCCTTGGGTTATCTTGGCGGCTGTTTTATTTTGCTTCGTAAGTGCTGTGTTACTGCTTCATGTATGTGGCAGTTTTGCCATTTCAGGAAATGCCATACACTCACGTGCTCAAATCAGAAACCACGCAGTTATTTGATCTTTTCATTTTCCGTGCTCCCCACATCCAATTCTTCACCAAGTTCTGACTCTTTCTTTAAAATATTTCTTTAATTAGTTTGCCTTTCTTATATTGACTTCCAATATTGGAGTCAAAACCACTGTCATCTCTTTCTCAGGCGACTGCAGTGCCTTCCTGTCGTGTTTTCTTGCTTCCATTCTTGCCTCTGCCAGTTCCAAATTTAGGCCCAAGGAATCTTTTAAAAACATAGATGATTCATTCCTCAGGCTTTCTTTCTGTGCTTCAAGTCCCATATCCTTAATCTGGCCTACAAAGCTTTGCCTGGTTTGACCCCGAGTCACATGTCCTCCCCACCTGTGGCTCTCTCCCTCTTTCTGTTTCAGTCACAATGGTCTTTTTATTCTTGACTAGAGGCCTGGTGCATGAAATTCGTGCATGGAGGAAGAGTGCCCCTCAGCCCAGCCTGCTCCCTCTCCAATTTGGGACATCCCTCTCACAATCCAGAACTGCTGGCTCCCAACTGCTCGCCTGCCTGCCTTCCTGATTGCTCCTAACCACTCTGCCTGCCAACCTGATCCTAACCACTCTGCTGCCAGCCTGATTGATGCCTAATTGCTCCCCTGCTAGCCTGTTTGCTCCTAACTGCCCTCCCCTTCAGGCCTGGTCACCACTAACTGCCCTCCACTGCAGGCCTGGTCACCCCTAACTGCCCTCCCCTGCAAGCCTTGTCCCCCCAACTGTTCTCCCCTGCAGGTCCAGTCACCCCCAACTTCCCTTCTCTGCCAGTCTGGTCGCCCCTAACTCCCCTCACCTGCAGGCTTGACTGCCCCCAATTGCCCTCTCTTGTAGGCCTGGTCCCTCCCAACTGCCCTCCCCTGCTGGCCATCTTGTGGTGGCCATCTTGTGTCCACATGGGGGCAGGATCTTTGACCACATGGGGGCAGCCATCTTGTGTGTTGGAGTGATGGTCAATCTGCATATTACTCTTTTATTAGATAGGATTATTTTTTAGCTCTTTCTAGGTTTGGTTTCTTTGCACATTCCTTTCCCAGCACCTGCATGCTTTTCCTTCCACCCCTCACCTGGCTCATTACCATTTATCTGGCAGATCTCAGTTTAAGTGTCACTTTCACAGATAGCAGCTACTTCTTCTCCTTCATAAACTTTTCATAATTAAGAATATATACTGAGTGGCCAGATTATTATGATCTCTGAATGCATAATAACCTGGCCACTCAGTATATCTATATTAGAGGCCCTGTGCATGAATTCGTGCATGGGTGGGGTCTGGTCAGCCTGGTCAGGGGGAGGGGACATGGGTGGTTGGCCATCCTGCCTGCTGGTCGAACTCCTGGTTGAGGGGACAATTTGCATATTAGCCCTTTATTATATAGGACATATACTGAGTGGCCAAATTATTATGCATTCAGATATCATAATAATATGGCCACTCAGTGTATATGTTCAATTGTCTCTTCCATTAGAGAGTAAATTTCTTAAAACCAAAATAATGTCTATTATGTTAACCATTAAATATCTAGGGCTTATGTCTGGCACAAACTAGGTGCTTTCCTTTTAAATGAATCATAATGTCCAGCACAGTGTGAGGGAGAAAATAGGTTTTAAAATATAGTTACCTATGGAAAATTCCCTGTTGCCAATTAAATGTAAAAAGCATTAGGGTCTTGTAAATTTAGTATCATAAAACTGAATTCAGAAATTATTCTCTACAACATAAAACCAACAGAGGCAAGTCATATGTAACCCACGTTTTAGAGTATTTCCATTTCCCCCCCTGTCTTCTTGAGGACTGGGACAGGTCTGGGATCAGGGCAGGATTAAGCTAAGGGCTTTTCTATGGTTGGTACTTTAACATTCCTCCTCTTCCTCACCTGGGGGCACATAACACTCACCAGCAGACTGTGACACAAAGCATGGAAATGCTGCTGATTTGTCTCCAGCTCATCCCAGTCCAGCTGCCAACAGCTTGTGGGTCTAAGGATGAATGGGAGTCCATACGTTATTGATTCGCAGATCCCACTGGATTTTAGAGCCCTGGGGAGAGACAATGGCAGTGAAAGTCTCTAGTGATTATAAGAACCTCGACCCAGATCCACCCAGATTCAATAAGTCTAACACCCTATTGTGAAATCCTTTAGGTTAGGGACTGTAAATTATTCATCTATGAATGGCCAGTGCCTACAAGGTATCTGGCACATAGCACATTCTAAAAGTCTGTTAATCAATGAATGAAGCAGCCATCATGAAGGCTCCAGACACCGTTGTCTATTTCTTCTCCTGAGCTCATTTTATTCTCAGTGACATCCCTGGAGACACTCCCATAATACTTCTGCTACAGCAACCATATAACACAATATGGTTATACCATCTGCTCCCCAGTCCTGGCTCTTTTGTGGTGACAGAGGATGCATCTAAGAAGAGTATGCATTTTAAAAGGCTCCTAGCAACATCATGGTCACAAACTTATGGACACGTTTACTCAGATACCTGTGCATGGGTACTGTGATAGGAACTAGGAAGCAATAAAAGTGGCCTTTACCATCATTGTTAACTCCGCCTTGGACTTGGTTCCCCTGGAAGCAGGAATTCTAGTACTTAGCATCGAATTTCAATTGGTGTGCTGCAAGAATTTTTAAGACATGAAATACCTGACTGTATAGTCAGGAGTACTGACCTCTTTTCCCTAAGATTGTCAAATAAAAAATGATGACAGCCATTTGATTGATTCACATAGCTGTCCAGTGTGAATGAATCAAAACTATATCTATTTTTTTGTCAGAAGGGGAAAAAATAATATAATTTTTTTAGTGTGCTGCAGAATTTTAGTAATTCATTTATGTGTGCCATGAGGTGAAAAAGGTTGAAAGTCGCTGAATTAGAGAAATGGTAGAAAGGAGGCAGGGGAAGATCTTGCTCCTTGAAGGTCATATCTCTGTCCTGGTGCCTAAACACAACATGTACTCAATAAACATTTTCTTTTGATCTTGTTTTGCCCTGCATTCAGAGACTTTCTGGATTTCCAATCTTCATCCAGACCTCAGAGTGTCCTACTGAGGCACATCTCCATGTGCCGAGCAGCTGTGACTGCTCTTTCGTGCTCCTATCTGTAATTGCTGCTTTGGACCTGACTCCCGCCTGCCTGAAACTTGGGGAAGTCCTCTATCTCTGGACTTTCTAGCCATGGAACCCATAGAATCAGCATTTGCACGGACTGGGGAGGTTCCCGTGATCCATACTTGATCACCCGGAGCTTGTAATAAGAGGCTGATGACTGGGAAGCCATCTGGTAGAGTGTGCTGAAGTCTCCTTTGGGGTCATCTATTTTCAGGGAGCCATCAGCTGTGCCAGGCAGCAGGGATGGGCTGAGAAGCCGCTCTTGGAGATCACATTTCAGGCACACTACAGTTAAAAAAAAAAAAAAAAAAAAAAGGCATTGGAGGAAGGATGTTGGTCATAAGTTTCCTCAGGCTATGTGATAAAATCTGTTACCCATTCTACCTCCATTAGTTAAGTGAGAATTGGGAAAAGGCAGGAGAGTGGAAGGCAGGAGAGAAGAGAGGTTGGTTTGGGAAGGCAGAATAGGTCTGGAGTCAACAGTATTGCACTACACAATGGATAACATTTTTTGGGTCTGACATGATTTTTACTTGTCTTACATGTGGGCTGGCTGAGCTGGGCCCCATAGTGAGAGATCTGGCTTGTGATCCAGTCTAAGAGGAACATGTGTCCTTTGGGGAGGAGGCAGCTAACACTAAAGTAGGCAGAGACTCTTTGGCAACTACACAAGGAAACTTTGCCTCTGCTGCTTCCCTGTGGTTAAACTTTGGCAAGATTACAGGTCAGATGAAAGCGGAGCAGGAAAGCAGAAGTCAGGCAGTCAGCTGACAGCCACTGTTCCTTTGTGGGCTCTTCTAGGGCATTGGCACTGGGGGAGGAATAAGTTCCTGAAATAGGTTTACTGTTAAATTCCCCAAAGAAACTAACATATGGAACCTCCTGAGCCTTGGAGCATTACTGTGGCATCAGACCACAGTTCTGAGGGGGCTTCAATGAGGTCTGAGTTATTCATCAAGGTGTTATGCTCATCTGCATTAAGCCTTTGCTCCAGCAGGTGTATTGACAGTGCACAATGTTCTGTTGCAATCAGCTTGAATCCTTGATATTACATAGGTTTTCAATGCAATTTATACCAGGTTTGAATACTGTTAACAAAGCTATGGATATACAAATGGGGAGTTCTTGTGAGAGGGCTAGTAGTTGATGTTAGTGATTTATGAAATAACTATACTAACTGCAACATGAGGTAAAAACAAAAGTAGAAATAAGGTAGAAAAAATAGGATGACAGAATAGATGTCAGGCCCAACTGGTCCTCCTGGGCTCAGCAATCAGACCTAGATATTAATTTTGGATGAGGTGCCTCTGGTGTGTCCCAGAGTCCAAGAAGTCAGTAGGAGGGAGTTTGCTCAGGACTCTAACTTCCTCTCATTCCTGCGTGCCTGTCTTCATTGTTGGGCCCCTGGGTTTTAGGATTGGGCAGGTGTATTAATCTGGCTGAGGTTTTCAACTCTGATGGAATTAAAAATCACCCAGGGAAGTTTTAAAAGATATTGGCCCCTATTTCGCACCAATCAAATTGGAATCTCTGGGGATGAAGCTCAGATGTTGGCATTTAAGAAAAGTTCTTTATGTGATTTTTATTGCGGCCAGCGCTAAGAACTATGGGAACAATAGTCCTAGCAGTGTTTAAAAGTTGTTTTAGTAGGTCTTGGGCTTAGACCAAGGTATGCTTCTTACCACACAGAACCTAAGTGTCGAGGTGGCAGACCTTAAATCCAAGGAATGCGGAAAGACACTCATCTGAAACTGATTATGCACTCTGTCCATCACAAGGAGGCCTCTGAGGGAAGCATCTATAGGTGGGGTGAAGGGCCATCGGTAGCTACAGAAGAAGGTGGTATGGAGTGGAGCCCTTAAAGGAGGAGAACCTTATAAGGAAGAGTCAAAGTGAATATCTTAGGGGCAGTCCTCAAAGGATCCTGCAGTAGGAGAGCTCAGGGTTTTATATCCTTCCTTCCTTTCTTTCCTTCTTTCTTTCTTTCTTTCTTTCTTTCTTTCTTTCTTTCTTTCTTTCTTTCTTTCTTTCTTTCTTTCTTTCTTTCTTTCTCTCTCTCTCTCTCTCTCTCTCTCTCTCTCTCTCTCTCTCTCTCTCTCTCTCTCCCTCTCTCTCTCTTTCTTTCTTTCTTTCTTTCTTTCTTTCTTTCTTTCTTTCTTTCTTTCTTTTTCTGTAATGAGCCACATATATATAAAACCATGTGTGTGGCAATGCATTAGTTTTTTAAACAATGGGTAACTACAATCTGGTCTTTATTGTAGTTGCATAAACTCTTAGTTAGGTACTAGGTCATACCTAACGCTGGGTAGGTCTACTTTCCCCAGACATTATTCCAATTATGTTTGAGCATCTGGATGCCAGTGAAGTCCTCCCCAGCAGAAGAGCTGATGAATTTGGATCTAAGTTCTACCATGCATCATGAGGATCTGTACATTGCTGAAAAATGGTTGCAGATGAAGATAAACATTTGGGCTCTGATCATGGTGCTGAAAGTCATGGAAAGAGAGAGGGCAAAATAGAGAAGTTCTCAATGGTACCATGAGCAAATGCTGGGCAACAGTGGAAGAAAGCCTGGTTTCAAGAGTTCCTGGCCTTGGAGCCCCCTTCTCTCTTTAATAAGAAAAGTGAATCTCTAGCCTCTTTGTTTAGAATTACCCAGCATGAGGCAGGCTGAGTAGTAAGTACATGCTCCAGCTCCGGAGGTAGAGAGACTTGGTATATCTTTCCCTCTGGGGCCAGGATTCTGTACCCACTTTTCTCAGTGAACTCCAACTCCCAAAGACACACCTTGGTCCTTTCCCTTTGAAGTGGGGCCTTAAGGAGTCAGCTTTTCCAAACTGAGTGTGGCTGACTGTGCTGATGGGCCCATTTGCAGGCCCTTGTCACTCTGGGTCCTGAGCCAATCTTCAAAGGGGATGGAGACTAGAAATGGCCTTACTCCTGTCATCTATTGGGATCTGGAATGAAGCATCCTCACCAGACAGAACAAGATCCAGGGCCATGTTGGCATGTTCAAAACATTGCCAGAATGTGCTTTGTAAACATAGTCTTGGGGCCTGCCTTGATAGTTGCTTTAGTAGTTCCCCAATATGGTGTTTTCCTATCTAGAAGACCTCTATTTATATGGTTTTTAAAAATTGATTTTTTTTAGAGAGGAAGAGAATGGAGGGAGGGGGGGGGAGAGAGAGAGAGAGAGAGAGAGAGAGGAGAGAGAGAGAGAGAGAGAGGAGAGAGAGAGAGAGAGAGAGAGAGAGAGAAGATATTGGCTGCTTCTTGTACCACCTGACCCCTGACCAGGGATCAATTTCTCAATCTGGGTATGCACCCTGACCAGGAATCGAACCCGTGACCCTTTGGTGCATGAGTCAATGCTCAACCAACTGAACCACACCAGCTATGGCCAGAATACCTCTATGTAATATTGGTTTAGTCTTGGTTCTTTTCCTCTACTCACAGCCCTGTTGATATTGTTGAGGTGCCAACATGTCTCAAATTATATGAATATCTACCTAATTAAAAATGAAAAACTTGAGAAATACATGATTTACTGTGCTCTTGTGCAGCGTAGCTGCTGTCCTGTTATTGAGATGTCTAAGTCTTTGCCTCTAAACTAGCAGTCCCTTGCTATCTGGGCTTAATTCAGTTTTCTAATCGGGTCACTTTTTAGAAATTTTCTTACTCTGTTTATACTAGAGAACTTCACCCAATCCTCCTCTAATCCTTAAACCTCAAGGACTCTGTATTCTGTTGACTCACCAATCTAGAGTACTAATCCTGGACTAGGATAATCATAGCCTATATAGTATGCTTTTTTTTAGGAGTGTGTACTTGGCTTATCTCTGGCTCTGGAAATGTTGCTGAAAGACTGTGAAGGAAGAAGAAGATGAATATGTTCTTGGTCTGTTCCGCTGTTATGTAGCCAGGCTTTGAAGAAAACCTCCATGCTGACAACATCATTGTCTATAGTCTGAAGGTCAATGTCAATTCCCAGGAAAGAGCTTTCTGCAGAATAAAGGGAAAGAGTAGTGAAAATGTTTAACTCTTTAATTGTAAAATTTGAAAAATATAAAATTTTAAATGCACCATTTTTTGGCCAATGGATTCTACCTCTAGATATCTAGCCTATAGGCATTCTTGGATAGCACATAAAGAGACATATGCAAATATGTTCAGCACAACATTGTTATAATAACCAATAATAAAAAAAGTTAAACAGGAAGCAATTCAAATGCCTGCCAATAAGGGAATATTTAAATAAATGATGGCACAATCAAACTATAGAGTATTATGCAGCTGTTAATAAACAAAGTAAAGCTAAATGTGTTGATACAGAAAGCTATGAGGTAGTAAGTGAATAAAGAAAGTTATAGCCGAAACCGGTTTGGCTCAGTGGATAGAGCGTTGGCCTGCGGACTGGAAGGTCCCAGATTCGATTCCGGTCAAGGGCATGTGCCTTGGTTGCGAGCACATCCCCGGTAGTGGGTGTGCAGGAGGTGGCTGATCGATGATTCTCTCTCATCGATGTTTCTGACCCTCTATCCCTCTCCCTTCCTCTCTGTGAAAAATCAATAAAATATATTTAAAAAAGCATAAAAAAAAGAAAAAAAGAAAGTTGTAGAACAGATGTACAGTATGAGCTCATTTATATAAAAATAAAACTAATGGCCTAAGTACATACTTGTGTACGTACTAATTTTACAAAAGTCTGGAAGGCTACCATCAAACTGTTAACAGTGGACAGGAGTAGAAATGGGGCAGTTCTGAGATACATTCCTTTTTAATATTCATATTTTGCATTCTAGAAAAAGTAAAATAATACAGTAATGTAAGGTAAGTAGTTAACAAAGGGGAACTTCAGCTTTATGTTGTTGTTTCACAGTGAAAATGTATTCAATTATTACTTCTTCCATGAAAAATAAAATTTAAAACTATGAAAACAACAAAAAGATGAACTCCTGAGGCCTACCTTCTGACACAGATTATACAAGTCTGTCACTGGTGTGCTGTATCTCACAACTGTGATTAGCGGCCCAAAGACAGATGGTGGAGTATGATTTGATGTCAAATATGAATGAATGGAGCCAGGTGGAGGGTGAGGAGGCTCTGCTAGGCTACTCCTGCTTCAGGCAACACTGGGATCTGGGTCTGCAGGTAAAGGTTGTCAGTAAAAGCCAAATATAAGGTGGTAGAGGAAATGAGGCAGGAGCTGGAAAGAATCTTTTTTTAAATTTTCTTTCCTGACCATGAGGGGCTCTCTGAAATACTTTTACAAAGAGCCTAAGAAAAACCAGTTGCTCCAATGAATTAACTTCTGTGTATGACTCATGGACCCCAGGGAGAAGGCTAGTTTATTTCTAGAACGACATTCCTGAGGACAAGTATGCAGAGGTGGCAGACTTTCCACAGGGAACAAAGGGCTTCAGTCCAACGTGTTGGTACCCACACAGGGGAGGTGTAGTGAGACCTAGATGACTTCACATCACATTGAATGACTTATTCTTTGGCTGAAAAGGGGCATCACATGCAGTTCTCTTGTGGCATGTGTGAAAAAACTCCACCATCTTCTGTGGGTAGTTACAAGGATTCATTAGTGAATTGGTTTCATTCATTTAAGCAGGAATATTTATTATGTAGAACGTAGAAATACTACACAGTGTACAAAGATATATGGTACTCTGTGCTCTTTTGGAGTTTATAAAGCAACATTATATATATATATATATATATATATATATATATATATATATATATATTTTAAAAAATATATTTTATTGATTTTTTACAGAGAGGAAGGGAGAGAGATAGAGAGCTAGAAACATCGATGAGAGAGAAACATCGACCAGCTGCCTCTTGCACACCCCCTACCGGGGATGTGCCTGCAACCAATGTACATGCCCTTGACCGGAATAGAACCTGGGACCTTTCAGTCCTCAGACCGACGCTCTACCACTGAGCCAAACCGGCTTTGGCGATATATATATATTTTTAAAAAGGAATATTTATTGCAGTAATGAAGGAACATTATTCTTTTTTTTTTTTTATCCTCACCTGAAAATATGTTTATTGATTTTAGAGAGAGAGGGGGGGGGGCGGGGAAGAAACATTGATGTGAGAGAGAAACATTGATCAATTGTCTCCTGTATGCGCCCAGTTGGTTCGAGTGTATTGTGACAATACTCTAATCAACTGAGCTACCTGGCCAGCCCAAGAACATTATTCTTGACCACTCATCCTTAAATTCTACTACAGTGATACATATGAAGTCATTGTCAAAGAAACATTCATCATAAGTTATCGATAAGTTCTTTTTTATTTTTGAAAGGTTCTTTTAAATAATGTGAATCCTATTTTGTCACAGACAAAACAAGAAATAATTTAGATTTCTGAGCCTGGACTTCACCTTGAATGACATATGGAAATGACTGAACAGCTTCTCTTCAGGGAGGCAAAATAATTATTAAAACATAAGGAAGCAGATACAGGACTACAGAAATGAAATTGAGCAAAAGACCTCAGAAAACAGAAAGGATAATACTACTTAGAGTTCAAACAACAGGATTTTGAAGAGAAAACGGGTCTCATTTTCTCTCCCCAGGGACAGGATACAAGAGTAGAAACTCCTCCCATGGGCCGTATAAGGAGACAGCACAAAGTTACTCCCAGCAAGAATCTGGACATAAGAATAGGGGTTTTCCTCAGGTAGTTAAACCATAAAATCAACAGAGTGGTGAGATCCATAACAACAAAACAAACAACAAAAACCAACCAGTGATCTTAAGAAAGGAGAATGGTTTACTGATCAGAGCAAGATTGGGCTGGAGCCTATGGACGGCGCTGGCTTACCCAAGGGAATAATGTGCCCCTTAGAAGGGGAGAGGGTTGGCTAGAAACGGAGCACAGAGAAAGGGAGCAACAGGGACAGCATTCATCCCAGAGTGGCTCAGTGGGGAGGGCATGCTGGCTCAGAGATGTGTCCCAATGGCAGGATATGTTTGTCCGGTCTCTGCTCCCTTTGGTGATGATGGTGGTTATGATTCTCCCTCTAAAATATTCTGGTTTACACTTTGATCTTGAGGTTGATAGGGTGAGCCTATCTCTGAGAGGGTGCTGACAAAATAACTTTCCGATCCTTCAAAGCTGAAGAGCCAAGCCTGAATCATGACATCTCTATGAAGGATGATGACAGTCTTCCCTGCAGATACCCATTGACATTCCTGAAGTTCTTTCCAATTTCTCAACCTACAGGTTCTTTTTTTGGGAGAGCCACAGAGCAGAACTTCTTTCTTTGAAAACGTGCTCATGTAATTTCCACCCAGGCACTGTGCAACAAGTCTGAGTCTGCAGTTTTGCAGGCTCAAGAGGGAGTCAGCAGCTTTTCAGAGACAGTCACGTGGTCCAAGCTAACGGCTAACGTGTAAAAAGCAGAACACCCTAGGGAGAGCTTCTTTTTCATTTTCTGTCAGTGGATCAGGCCTTGTGCCTGGATCATAGCAGTAACCACTTCGCTGTCCTATCAGGCTCCACTCCTTGTCCTCCGTAGGCACTACTACCAGCAAAAGTTTGTAAAGTATGGTTTCATCAGATCCCACTTTTGCTAAAGTGTACATCCTGCCTTCCTGCTCTCATCATCTTCTTCTTCTTTTTTTAAAATATATTTTATTGATTTTTTTATAGAGAGGAGGAGAGAGGGATAGAGAGCTAGAAACGTCGATGAAAGAGAAACATCGACCAGCTGCCTCCTGCACACTCCCTACTGGGGATGTGCCCGCAACCAATGTACATGCCCTTGACCGGAATAGAACCTGGGACCTTTCAGTCCGCAGGCCGACGCTCTACCACTGAGCCAAACTGGTTTCGGCTCTGCTCTCATCTTTATTCCCCTCACTCATCCTATTCAATTGGTGATACTCATTATTCCTCAAACACCTGGCCCTTCCCTTTTTCTGTGATGGCTCACAGGATTCCTCCCATCTCCATGGCAGATCCTGTATTCCAATCCCCGCAGGTAGTTTGCATGGAGCTGAAGCTTAGCAAATGCTTGTTGAGTTAAACAATAAGTTAAACAATTGCTTCCTCCTCCTCAGCTCTCATTAATTTTTCCTATAACTCTTCTGCTTCAGCTAAGTTAGTCTCCTTACCACATGACTTCCTTCCTTCCTTAGTGCTTTTATTACTCTGTCAATTATGGCATGCACCTCCCCCAGCATTCAACTCAGCGCTGACTTTGTCCCAGAACTACGCTTAATTACATCCTTCCTTATTCAGTTTTAACCAGCATCCCCTGGATATCTGTGGGCTTCATTTGGTCAGTGCAAACTATACTTGTTAATTGGTTTCTTCTGAAGGGTTTTCTTCCCTCTCCCCCCCCCCCGTGAGTTTTTGAAACATGATGGGATGTAGTGGAAAGACCAGGGTTTGAGTTGTGACTTGAAAGTTGTTAGCTTTGTGACTTTGAGCAAAGTGGGGATAGTACACCTATGTCAGTGATAGTGAGGCATAAGAAGTGAGATGATTGTCTAAGAATAACATGCAGTAGGTTCAACAATGACATTTTTTTCCTTTACTCTCATCAACAGAATTATTTGCTTTTATAGGATAAGAATGTGCTTTCCTTTTGAAGACATTTCCTCCTATCACTTCTCTTGGTGACTGCTTCCTCCCTACCACCAACATGACTAAGAACACCAACATTTAGTGCTGTGACCCTCTCATGTACAACCAAACGTGCTAACCCTGGGAATGGGGAGGAGACTTCTCACTTCTCACATGTTGAAGAGCAGCTCCCACATTGACTGGCAGCAGGGCACTGGGCACTGGATAAACCAGGTCCTGCTGAGGGTATGAAATAGAAAGGTTGCCAGAGTGAGGGTGCAGGCAGCTCTGAGTGTCTGGGTGGTTAAGACAAGTGAGGAAGGCCTGGTTCACTGCAGCTGATAGAGCAGCCAGCATTCACATTCAATTTTTGGACTTACCCTGCACCAATGGGCCACAAGCAGAGAACA